CATAAAGCCTAACCATGCTCCCATTCCGTTATTACATCAAGACCAAAGGCAGCAAACAAAGGCTCAGTTACCAACTCACTGTTAACAGAACAGCAGATTACTGCAATAAATTGTTATTCATGATTCCCATGCTGTATTTCTAACACAGACCCTGACTAAATTCACATGTCAATCCAGAAAATAGCATCTTGAAAACAAAAAGAATGTAAAAAAAAAAAAACCTTAAAACTTTAAAAGAGCAAAGCTAGAAAAACAAAATAGCAGCCCAATAAAGGTTAGACTAATCTAAACAAACCAACTAAAAGTCACCAAAAAACCCACAGACTTTTTCAGTCTCTATCTGGGGGGCAGAATATTATAATACCTAACGTAAGAATTTGAGAAAGCACAATATTAAACACTGCTGTGTTAGGGTCACTCAATTTTTTTCCCCCCAAAATGAAATATCTCTTACACACGCTACGAAGTATTTTCTGTGAATTCTACTGCCAGCTCTCACAGCATGAACAGATGCATTTAGTTCACATTAACCTGTAATGAATATTTAAGTAAAAGCTAAAACATGATCAAAGAAACTTTTCCACCAATTCCATCTCTTCTAAAAAATAACTGCTATTATAATATATTTTCCATTACTAGGATGAGAGCCAGCTCTCAATTCAGTACTTTTGATGTAGAATTGAATACTTCACTGCATACCAAAGCGCTAGGTTCATTTTCAGTTTTTAGTTTGCAACAGAATGGAATAGGTAGAAACATTTGCAACGGAAAAGTCTAGACCACAAACACTAGAGATTCCTGGGTATTTTATAAAAAGAAGTTACAGACCACTAATCACCCCATGCATTTTTACGGCACCTATTGCAGGAGTATCCACGTGCTCACGTTTCTCAGTTAGCTTTATAATATAGTAGTGTTTTGTCGTTCTACCAGTAGACGTGTTTAAGGTGATGAAGCAAACAACCGAAGACTAAGCAGGTAGATGAGGGAGACAAATTTAAAATTAATACTGGTAGACAAATTCTTTAAGTCATATGCAAAAAGACTTAAGTATATCTTTTTCAAAAACTAACATTCAGTACCTTTTTAAATTTTCCTTGTCGCTTTGCTGCAGACTGCCCCTGGGAGTTAGAATAACATACTGTAAGAAAACATGCACACACCACACAGGACGGAGACACCTTCTCTGTACAATTATACTTTCAACCTACAGATTTTTAAACTGTTAGAGAGTCACGTCTATGATCAAACATGCTCTTAAAGCACGCTCTTTCATTTTTAATTAATAAAACAATGCATTATTGTATATACAGTCTATTGTTCCTGTAAAACAAGCAAGTGTTGTTAGCCACTTAGCTCAAATTAGTGAAATTACAGAAATTCAGCTTCAAAACTGTAGATTTTAGACTGTTTAGTGGCATTGTTCTATTTCATAACACACACATTGAAATTAGATATATTTTCCCCTCAAATCACACCCCACGAGGCGAACCAGACACTTTGCTGCCTATTCCTCCCTTTTTGTCTCCTGGTGCATACTGAGGGTCACCGAAGGCAGCAGAATCTAATGCTACTTGATATCAACCTTCTTCCAGTGAAATATGACCGTAACAACAATGCTTTAGAGTATGATGCGAGACAGACCTCAGCAAGAATTTCTCTCAGTATAAGCTCTGAAGTTCTCTTTGCTGCCAATAATGGAAATTTGACTGGTAATACCTGCTAACTACTGCCTCCTGTCCCAGAAATCACTGTATACAACAACTTCATCTGTTTTAAAATAAACGTAGACAAGAATTGCAACTAATTGTTTAAGGAACTCCAGCATTCAGGTTAGGCAAACTAAACTACACTACTGTGATGGATTTACCATGGATTTTATAAAAGTATACTTGCAACCTTGCAGAAATCACAAAGAAATATAAGAATAAAAATTTTTGGTTAGCTACTAGGTTTTTCCTCATTAGAAGTATAGCTTCCTACATACATGAATTCTCTTGGGAAACATTAACTAACCTGTAGTTACAACTAAGATTAATACTGTAATTTTCCCCATTGATTACAATCAAATCAGATTTAATGAACTAAACTTGTCTATTCAGCAAGATCTAAAAGGTAATAATATACGCCCACCTCCTCACAGAAACACACGTTCTATGAAAACAAATATTCTTATATCAACTTGTTCAGCCACATTTAGTAATTTTTAGTCCCATAGATGGGCTACCTCTAAATACTCATGATCAACATTAATTCAAATTTACTCTCAGCTTTATCATCTATTTAAAAGCCCTGGAATGGCTAAGGGATCTTCTAGATATCTGAGCACTAGATACATGCAAATAGTGATACTTTAAACGCTGTTGCACTACAGACTCATTCAAGTTAGGAAATAGTTTTTACAAGGATGCTGCATTATAAGCAAAATAACAACAAAAAAGACCATTTTTTCCACCATGAAATACTTTGTTGGAGCATACAGTCATACTAGTGGTTGACAACATCCGAGCGTGCAGCTGGTAACAAAATCTGCTTAGGCATTTGGAGTCAACAAAAATGTCTCATAGTTTGAGAAACACAGGTGTTACAAAAGTACTTATTTTTGATGAGCTGCATGCATGCAAGGAAGAGTATTGAGGTTTACTAGCGTATCAACATGCACAAAATATGTGGAGCTCTATTTTTCCTCTGTTCAAAAATGATACTAAACTACGCAATTATATCAAACCATTTTTTAAGGCTGCCACACCAACAAAAAAGCAGTTGCTTCTGCAAAATATAAGGATTCAGAGCTAAGGAATAGCTAGAATTTAAAAAAAAAAAATGTAGTTTCAAATTTAATTACAGGATGAAAATGAAACTACTAGAAGTTACTCGGATTTTAAAATAAAACAACTGCTTCTAAAGTGTGTTCAGTTAGTAAACTGAGCGCTCTTTAAAGTATTAAGGCAAGAAAATACAACACTTCCTGACATGCCATTCTCCTGCTTGAAAGTTTTCAGAAAAAGAAACTATCATTTGTTTCAAATACTCACAGCTTTCTTTCCAAGTTCTGTTTTAGACAGTGTAAGAGCTCCTGCAAGATAGCATCCTGGTCCTGCTCCTTTAGGTATTCTATTTAAATAAAGAAATTCAACATAAAAAACAAGCTCATTAATGTCAATTCAGACTACAACAAAGAACCTAAACTGTGAAAGAGCAACATAGGAGAAATTACCAAGCCTAGATAGGTAGATACGACAAAGTATCATTTTAGTTAGGTTTAGAGGCAGCTGGTTAGACGCACACCAGAAACAGGACCTCAGTAACTTACTTGTCATCAGGCAGAGATGTAACAAAGAATGGCTGACTGTGTTTTGGTGGTAGTGTCAAACTGTTGGATTTCTTCTTCCCTAAGAGAGCAAGGCTATGGTTTTCATAAATATCTAAGCTCAAGGTATTAGACAACCTGTGAGAAACAATAAATGGAAGGTCTTTGATGCGATCCAGCTCACTGTTCTGTTCATGACGAATTTGTAACCGAATAGTATAATCTCCTTTTTCCAGTTTCACAGAATACTGAAAGAAAGAAGTTTGTGTAAATGTCAAAATTAAATACTCATCAAGATTAAATACACCACGCACATAGAAACCCGGAAATAAAACTGTCATATTTTCCTGGATGTACGTAGCTCTAACCACTTAAAATATGCTAGACCATTTAGCTTTTGAAATCTTAGGAAAATGGTGCACTTCCAAAATTTCTGAGAGCAATCAAAACACATTTTTGTACTGAATGGAGAAAAAAAAAAAGAATAATTTTCAGATCACAAAATAGGCTGGCATCATTTGCTCCTACTCTAACACTTATTAGTCACTCAAATAAAAAACGAGACTTCTTGCTAAACTTCCAGTTCAAAAACCCCAGCAAGTTTTCCTCAATGTACTTGCAGTTTACTGTGCAACTCTGGAGTTTAATGATTTACATCACTTCTTACTGTCTCCAATATTACAACAATTTTCACACTAAGTGACCCAATATTTCTTTGGGATTTAGGGCTGATCTTTAAAGAGCTGACAGATACTTTGCCTTGATTCTACAAAGCCTTCATACATGCACTGAGGCATGTGCAGATAGCACCATCCTTATTTATAAAAATAAATGAGCAGATTCTTAGTTTGGAATATATTCTTTAGTTTCTACCAACCTAATATGGGACTATATGAATGTTATGGGCAGTAGTATGCTAAGTTTCCTTTAGGACTTTTCTGCTGCGGCAATACAAGAGGCAGAGTCAAAACTGCAGGGTTTAATGAATAAGCCTTATTTAACTACTGCTCCACAATGACATTATGACTTATTCTATATATATAATTTTTTCCTGTTTAACCAAACGTAACAATTCAGTAACTGTTTCCTCTTACTCGCGCAATGGGAAATACAGGCTATACGACTGCCCTGTCAGTTCCACAGACCACAGTTTGAGCAGCAGATCTGTATTATATTATGTAAATGTTTCTCATACTACACTAATAGCTAAGAATCTTGGTTCAGAGTTTCAGAACCTTTCTGCGGCTTTTGTATCGATACCAAAGGCATCTTAGATCTCATGGGAGAGCCTGAATTTTTGCACTGTCCATTTCATGATAACCTACAAAAGTAACATAAGACATAACTTCAATTCAAAACAAAATCCTGCACACCCTTGCTTAGTAGCCACTGGGCTTGGGGGAGCATGAAATTTTAAGATGTTCTCCTTCAAGTTAAAAAATTATCCTAGGATCAAATATTTTTTCTTCAAACAAGTTCAGGACTACCATAATTTAACTCAGAGCTGAGTCACCAGGTGTCTTGGTCAGGCCTAAGCCCAAGCATCATCTAGAAACATCTTCAAAAGTTTATCCTCAGATACAGCAGGTATTTCTCAAATCATGTCTAATACACCTCAATAAGGCTTTGTTCTAAGCATAAAAGCAGTCATATATAAACAGGACAGGAGTACAGGGTCAACCAGCCCTGAAAAGAGGGACATTAATTGAGGACTACCCTTCTCTTAGAATTTCCCTTATCTGGGCTATAGAGTCATGCTTCCTGTTGATATTTCTTCCAGGATTTACAAATCTTGAACGGTTTTAGAATTTTTTAGAACGATGCAGAACACCAGAGAAGCACAGACAGGTCCACCAGGCATAAGTAACAGACAACTTTGGTAGTTTTTAGATATCACAGCACATTAAAAATGCAGGTTAAGGAATATAAGTTTAAATAATTCAATTTGTGAACTTAATTTATATGATTCAGAAGACATGCATTAAAGTGGATCTCAATATTTACAATTCCAGAATCATCAATCTATCTATAAATTAACATTAGATTGATGAAGTCCAAGTGTGAATTCAGGATGGTAGTTAAAAAAACAAAACAAAACGCCCCACATCCACAGAAAAAAAATTTTCCCTTACGTCTTTTTCTCCTCCTACATAAGATCCTGATCCACTGGAGCAGACAGTGGAACAAGATCCCCACATAGAGCACGATATCTACAAGCGTTGTCAAAAAGCACCGTTTGAAGGCTTTTTAAAGACATTAACAGCATGCAGGACAGCCTTCATGGACACAGTTGCCTCTGATTTGTGAAAGGACAAGTTAGAATACAAAAGAGTCTAACTCAGTAGATCCTTTCCATCTTAAATAGAAGAGTTCAAGGTATCTTTGTAAAAAAAGAAAACCAAAAAATAAAACAAAAAAACCCAAAGACAAGAACTTGAGTTCATTTCTTGAGCAGCATGGGTCAAAATGGCAAAAAAAAAAAAAAAAAAAATCAAAAGTTAATAGCTTTTTGTAGAAATAAAGCAAGCCATAATTCTTACTCCTCCTTTGAGAGCGAGGAAAAAAGTCCTATGAAAACAAACTTGGTAACTTCTTACCCCGTCCCCATACAAACATATAACTGAATGATACAATGGCTGCCCTTGTTCTCATCTCTTCATATTATACCTATGCACCAGGATCTGTTGGGAGTTAAAAGCAGGCTTGGGAGGTGAAAAAGGATGAAACTTTCACATTTGCAGAAAGCAGTAAGGTATAAGATAAATATATTGCTCTGTACCTGGTGTGGATAAGCATCTCCTGACCCCATTTGTCTTTTGTTCTGGTCAAAAATAATCCACAGTTGACTATCAAATTCAGATTCATATAGCAATTCACACAGAAGGGGACAGCTTGGAGTTACTTCTCCACTCTTAGGCTATAAAAAGAAAAGGTCAAAACATTTATTCCACCGTTGCGTAAAAATAAGGATAACCTTGATGCACACATTCAAAAGGAGACCTGAACTGAAGCCATTTCAAGCAACAGTAGCTCCTAAAGAGCACCATATCAGAATTTTGACTCTAGAGAGTCTACAGTCTGACTCTAGACCCCATTTCTGACAGGAATCTAGTTAAAGCTAAAGCTTATTTTAGAGAACACGCTGTATTAATTAACGACAAACAACAATCAAAAAATCCCTTTACCTGATGGAAGTTATAGGTCAAAATCATCTCATACAGTTGACGATTATTTGGTAAAATATCTCTGGATCCCAAAGGTTTTATTTTTGCACTCACTGGTCTGCAGGTAAAAAACAGAAGACAGCATTAAGAGATACGTTTATTCTATATCAAAATTCAGCTACCCTAAGCAGTAACATATTCTGAATTACAGCTGAATTCAGCATGTGCAATAACATCTCTTAAAATACTGTAACCATCCAAACAACATAATAAATTCTTCAATTAAAATGGATGTCCGTTCAAAAAGAAGGCTTAGTGACATAACAGACACTGCCAGATATGGAAGTCAACAGAACTTAGCAAGCACATCTAATGCTCAAAATTAAAGGCCATGATAGACTGGGAAGACCAACAGACTTTAGGATTAGGAAAAAAAAAAAAAAGGTTACTTTACATCTCCATAGTCTTGTTGCCATCAGCACTTTAATTCACAGGCTGAAGAATGAATGGCAAGTAATTTTCAGGACAGAATAAGTAGTTAGTTGAAATTTGTTTGCTATAGAAAGGTTCTTTCAGAAGAGGATTTTTAAGAGGCCTTGCAGAAATCAGAGTAATAGTCAGCTCCCTATAACACAAAGGAAGAAGCTTTAACCAACATTACTTATCTGGAAACTCAAATATAGTTAGGAGAAGCCATTGTTCAGAGCAGCACAACTCTTTAAACCTTGTGCATCAAAGAGTAAAGGCCAAATAACATCAAGATGGGAAAAAGAAAAAATCACAATTTTGGAAATGCAGAATGACTTGTGCAACACGTAAGACTACATTTCACACATGCATTACGATAACTTTAATTATATGATCAGGATTTTTCCACAAGTCCCCATCATTTCTCGAGTACAAAGAGATCCAACCAGCCACCAGGGGAGTCCTGTACTGCGTCAGGCCACAGGACCAGTTAGCCCAGGATTCCTACTCTAACAGGAACCAAAACGGAACTGCTGACAGAAAATCGTAAGGACAGAGTAATAACATACATGATACGTCCCCCTAATACACACCCTGTTTCCAAGCATTTGAAACTCAAGAGACCTAACGAGAAGTCATTCAGTAATTTTTCCCCCCCTCTGTGTTACGACTCATTAATATATTTAAATTAGGGGTTGAAGAGTGACTTTTGTGTGAAGTATATTTCTCATTGGTCTTCTTAAATGGAGTTCATTTGCTGTCAGATGAGCACCTCACAAATAAATACAAGGAGATAACAGCATGCCTATTCTACCAACCAAGAATGAAACAAAGATACATTAGGGGACTGCTTCGTTTCCTCACTTAAGGCATATGAAATCAAGTACTTCCGAATCTAGCATTAGGTAGCATGTCCATTCAACAGCAAATGCCCAGTGACCTCAATTCCAGTTAAAAAAGTCCAAAAGTCTCAGTTGGGCACCAAGGTCTGTGTTAGAAAAGGGAGCTAAACCGAGCTCTAGCCCAGGTTAGCACTAGTGCCTGCAGGCCGCAGGACTGAATTGTAAACGAGCTCGAGAGACATTGCTGAGGATGTGACCGCAAAACCAGCTAGAACCAGCGCTCAAAGATACCGAACAGAAGGAACAGAGGTAATGGTTAACCTTTGCATAAGATAAGGCACTGTGAAACAGGAACACAGCAACCGTCCTCAGATGTAGACGTGAATCGATCAAAAAGAAAGAGACCACCGACTCAGTAAAGAAGACTGGAAGAGACTGTCGCTAGCTGGCGAGGAAATAAGACTGTAAAGAGTATAATTATCCCAGAATTTCTTTGTTCTGTGTCCCTCCCTGGAAGCACCCAGCTCGAGCTGTTACTTTGCTGTATCATCATTTAAGTAAATAATTAATTTCACTGCTAGACATACATGCGACTCTGCTCTTCCAAAACCTAGGGTTGAACTGTTTCCATAACAGTCTTCAATGAGGGGTCCAAATAATGGGAAATGTTAAATTATTGATCACTCTGAAATTGTCTGGCCAGAATCCTTAGCCCAGGCCTTAAAACTACTGCTCAAACTGTATGGCATTTCTTTCTCCTCCAGATGTTCCCAACCTTATAAATTACGGCACTCATTAGGAAATTTCCAACAAAGCTTTACCTCCAAATCAGTGCGTGTCAAACTAACAAATAAATACAACCTTTCACAAGAAATTCTGTACCAGTTTTTACAAAAACACTCCTGATCAATCAAAAGAGAAGATAATCTTCCCAGATCAAAATCAGGCAGGAACCGAAACAGTTCCATGACAAGTTTTTAATAAAAGTTACAAGTTCATCCAAACGCAGAATGGAAGAGTTAAGAAATAAGTTTCGCACACAGAGAATTCCCTCCCTTCTCAGCTATATTCACTACATACCATCCAACACCCGCAGCAAATAACGTGGAACTTCTTTAAATAGTAGCCTGCTCATCTCCAGAGGAACATCCCCTGTTCAGTGCCTCCAACGTAAGGATCCCATGAAGAAGGTAATACACATGGAAACTGTATAGCTGTGTTTACATATGCCTTTTAAAAACTGTTATCACATTTTAGTTTTCTGTCTTGGTCTAGGAAATTTTACGATAAAAATCTCCAGAAACATCAGCATATGGTATAGACCAGCATCTACTAGATTGGAAGCTATTCAGGTATAGAACACGCTCAAAGGCTCCAGTATATTCTGGCCAACTGCAGGATATACAACATTTTCATTCTGGCTGGAAATTTTTAACATTTAGTTCCTGTGTTCTGAGAAATTTCTACTAAAGAGGTAGCAGCTTTAAGAGATAAGTTATCAGGCCAAGCTTGGATAATTTTTCCAAGGCGATAGTAAATAATATAGTCTTAGTAAAAGGTACCAACCTACCAGATTTCATGTTTGCAATACTGCTTCAAAAAAAAACAGTGACATCAAATTATGTAGTACAATTTATTTCTTCAAATATTATAGTGTCTTTTACCTCTAGTAATCTCCCCTGGAAACAGTGGAATACTTTAAGTGTTTTAAAAAAAAACTTAGCCTAAGGAAAGTAGCTTGTATGGAAGAAGTCACCATAGTTGTCCAATTTTGTCAAAATTGACAAGGAATAATAAAAAAAAGCTGAGAAATTTTTCAGTGTGACACTTTTAAACCTACTTATAATTTCCCAAGAATATTGTTGTTATCCTACGTTTCACTGTTAGTTTGTTACTATTTCAGCCACATACTAGTAACTTGCCCATCTTCCCAAAGCAGTTCCCCAGAAACGCTACCTGAGTGTTTGAACCCAGCTTTTCAGATTTATGCATGGAGCAATGTCTTCATACTTCAAAAGGGACTGAACATCAAACCGCACGATGCCTTCTGAAGCGTGCTTAAGAAAAAAGTAAAATAATTATGATTCTGTACATTTAAAACATAAGATATGGACAATCTGATGTGTCCCTCAAAAATACAATGCAAGTTCTGTTTACCTATTAAAAGAACACGACTGAGTTTGAAAGTTTCATGAGCCTTTATCCCTACAACAGCAGACACAACAACTTATAAGACTTTAGCAGTACGAGTCAAACATTGGACTACACAAGTTTAACTAAAGCCTTATTTCCAGATAGTCTTATTTATATTTGTTTTTTTCCTAAGGCTATCCACTGTTCTGGAAGATAATTTAAGTACTGACCCTGCTGTGAGAGCTTGGACCTGCTTTAGTAGAGGCTGCAACGTACACCACCACAACTACCTCTTCCTTCTCCTACTCTACCAGTTCAAGACCGGTTACCTCTGCAAAACGCAATCTCTGCTTTTTCACCCAACTTTATTCTGGTCTTAAAGTTCAAATAAATCCAGCTTCACATGTGACACAATTCTGATTTGCTCTGGCCCTCAGCTGAGGGAGGAGGAGTCAGGAGTAATTAGCACAGCCTCCCAACAGTCAATGCTGCTTCCTCCCGATAGTGCCATCTCAGCTCTAGAGGAGTGCCTTCTCCTAAGAAAGGCAAAGCAAAGTCAAGTTAAGCCAGGCTGCACAAGCACAGCAAAGAACACAGGAGGAAGATAGACTACTGTGAATATTACAATAATGTTTTTAGTAACATTTGAATCCTTTGGTATCACAGACTCTTAGGAGTTACAATATTGCTATCTATGCTGTGCCTTCAACTGTCTTAAACAATGACTCTCACACTGGAATATCACAGCAGAACACTGAATACAGAATAGAAAACAAACTTTATTCTGAAAATAAATTGACATTTTATTCTGAAAATTCTGAAAATAAGAGTATTTGTTTTAGCAATGGTAGTTTAGACACTGAAGTTTAACAACTGCGGTCCCCATAAAGTTTTTTCCACACAAATACTTGCTTATGAAAGTAACAGTTGCAGCTTGAGCACTCTAATATACAATTTCTAATCCTGGTGTTTTTCTTTTTTCTAACTTTTTCCTACTGATTCATAATGAAAAGGCACAGAAGATTTCATACTAGTTTTGTGCTACTAAGCTCCTATTTACCTACATTTAATGGAAAACAAACATGTTGCATATAAACAAACTTTTAGTCTTCCAAAATACAAGCAAGAATGAATAAAAGCTAATTTTATTTTGGGATGTATCATAAGACTATCAGAACAATCAAAATAAGAGCTCTGAAATAATTTACCATGTTCAGCTGAGGAGTCGCACAAAGTACGCCATGGAAAGAAATTGTGTAATTGATACTAACTTCGCTAAGACTTGCCCACCACCGAGCAACACAAAATTCAATCGTTTTTCCAGCCTGGATGACAAAAGACAAAGTTTAGGCACGAGCTCCCATCTTTCCCTTTTATCCACCCCCACCTTCCTCATCCCCAAACCAAAAAAATTTGAATACAGCTCAAAAAAAGATCTAGCGATGTCTACTCTACTTCAATAACCTAGGTTTATACAAAATCAAATACGACATTATACTGGTACAGAAAAGACAGGACAGCTCTAACAAAATAGGATGTCTGATTACCTCAACAACACAAAGAATACCAGAGGTACACATACACACTACAGGGAAAGGCGTAGCTTGCAAATACTACATTATCTTTTCCTCCCCTTCAAGCTATGCAGACAGCTTAGTTCATAGATGAGTTTAAATACGCGTGCCTTAGAAAATGAATATTGAGAAGGAGAAACCGCTCTGCCTCAAAACAGAGGAACAAAGCTTGGGAGGATATGTTTTTTTAAATCAGAAATGATACAACTCTCAATTAGTTGTCTAGGACAGACTTAGCTTCGGGCCACCTACCTCTGTTTTCAAAGGGGATAAAGAACTAAATAGCAAAGAAATGACAACCCCTCCCAGGCTTTAGGGCTATGCAACTAAAGAAAGACGGGTAGGGGGTAAAACGCGGACAGTGGATTCAATTATCCATACACCTGAACTGTTAGCTCACCCCTGGTTCTGTTTTAGACTGCTCAAACTAGCTGGTTCCAAGGTAAGTCTGCTATATCTGAGCAGTATGAATGAGAGCCAGTTGTCATCTAGCTTCAACATGAAGGAGATGTCCCAGATTACCACATCAAGCACAAAAGGCAAAATATGCTAAAATACATCTCTCTAACAAGTTTTGAGCCCTACTTGAAAGGGAAACAAACTAGTTTCTCTAAATAAGCACTAATAAATTGAAGAGACTAAATTTTAAGGCATATTATAATAGTAACACAGGATAATTAAGAAACACTAGGATGCTACTAAAGACCTTTTTAAAAACAGACAAACATACTACTATAAAAATCTTGTGGTTTCTTCAGATTGATTTTTTTTCAAAGAAAAACTTACAAAGTTTTATTGTGCTAATATATTACTTTTTTTTCTTTCCTTTTCTTCTTCCTTCATACCCCGCCCCAAGGTAACTTACTAAGACAGGAAATGCTTCAGTTACTGATCCTTTTTCTGGTAACGATGAAAATTTATAGAACTCATGACTTCTATATGCTTTTTGTTTCACTAGCTGAACAGCATGAAGAACAAACTTGGCAGTCACGTCAGATGAACATGAACATACTGTCACTTCTAGATTGAAGGAAAAAAAATCAAGGTTAGTTTCAATAGTCAAAGATTTTGCAAAAAAGGAAAGCGGATTCACCAGAAAAAGACTCTAGCTGCAGAAGTTATTTGCAATTTAAGAAGTTGCACTGTACACAAGTGGCTCCACAGGTGAATAACACTCACGCATCAGGTACTTACTAAGACCCTTTCAGGTTACGGAAAACGAGCTAAATTCGAAGATCAGCAAAAAGAAAAATTGACTTTTGGTTAAATAATGACAACTAATCAGATTGTACAGATTTCACATCTGTAATCTGTTTTACAACACAGACTGTGGCTGAATTCCAAATTAAGAGTCTTATCACCATCTTCAGACAAAATGAAAGACTATTAAATCAAAATCCTTTCCACAATCTCTCATTTCAACAATCTCTCACTGCCATAATGCTAATAATATTTTCTTTGGTTAATACATCTTTCAACGCTATCTTCACACATTGCAAAACAAGCAAACGTCTAGCAGGAATACTTTTCCATACATATGGGGAATCCCTCCATTGCACAGTGATGTGCAATCGCTTCAGATTACATTTGACGGTTTCTAGAAGACTGTGGGTGAGGAGGAGCTCACTTTACTAGAAACCGTGAGACAATTCAAAGTCATTCCTCTAAGAGCTAAAACTCAAATAAGTATTTTACACCTTCACAGGTCAAATCCTTAAGTTCTTACTCAAGCTGAAATTCTACAACGCAGATTTCAAGACAACTTCGCCAAGTGCGATGATTTTCCTTACCAGCCCACGTAGCTCCCTGTGGGACATCAATGAAGTGCCTTCGGATTTGACCAGGTTTAAAATGAACATCCTTATATGCAAGGTCATAGCAAGACGATTCATCTACTCTGTAAATGAAAACAGAAAACAAAAACAGTAATCAAACTGTCAAACTGATTTTGTTTTTAAGATTTTTTTTAAACACGTTACTCACTTTAGAATCCCTAGGTCACATCTCATACAGAAAGAACCAACTGTCCTGTTTCTCTGAATCACTATACTGTTGTTTTTTCTCACTGGCTTATTCCAAGAGAACTGTTCTTCACTGAGCCTATCTATGCTAGCATGCAGCCCCTGGGCCACTGCTGCATAGGTCTGTTGCAAGAATCTTGAGATGTCTGTACCCCAGCAATTTTAGCTGAGTCAACTAATAAGTTCAAGAACTCCTAGGGAAATAAATATGACAATACAAGTAAACTGGGTAACGAAAACTAACTAAACTTAAAAAATTGCAAATAAAGCCTGCATTTACTGACCTTGTTGGTATAACAACAGTTATTGGAACTCTGAAGAGAGGGCCTGCATTAGGCATTGCTATATCATATCCACACACCTGACAAAATAAAATACAGACACTTAAAATCTGTGTTCAAAACCAAATTTAAAAGATATCATTAAATTTAAACTAGTTGCAGATTATTTTGAATCTTTGTAGTGATCATTCAGAAGAGATCTTCACTTCAACCACTGCCACCTTAGAAATAGTAAAACAAGACTAAGGTTTAAGAGCTTTGCATGTTTATGTTCATTTCACTCTTTTTCTATAAGTGTTCAAGCTTTCAACTGACATCTGATAGTCTCTGTACCAAAAGCTAGACCTAGTTCTAAACTCAGAATTTGCCCCAAACACACATTATTTTAATTTAGCTTTTTTTTGGGTGGCATTAAAAAGAAAAACAATTTCTAATCCTCGCATTTCAGGCTAACATTTGATAAAACACAGTCCAATTTACCGAGCCTTTCATGTCTAAGCCTCTTTGCAAATTTATTTCAAATTTATGTCATGACTTTGCTAAAATGTTCTCACTGGTACTGTAGAAGACTGATAACTGTAAGTATCTTAAGCAGGTCTTTTCCAAAAGCAAACTGCTATCCTTTTTACAATCAATTGCAAAGCAAGCGTTTTAACATTAACAAAGTCTGGGATGAGGAAGCTTGAAGATTGCGTGTTGGTGGGGGAGTTTGTCAGAGAACTGAAGGAGGACGGCTAGGAAAACAGAGGGAGAGGTTTAATGACTTTCATATTAAATTTGCCCAAATCTGATGGTAGCCAAAGGCAGCAGGATCCTTCAGTGGCACATAGCCATTGCTGCAGTAAGGAGAGGGAAGGGAAAACAAGAAGAAAGCAGGTTTTGTCAATACATCACAGTACCCCTGTAACTTCTGAAGCTAAAGCAAAATCTTGGTGCCACATAAGACACTGTGGCAACACCATAAAAAACTAGTCCAGCCCTTAAGCCACGACAGCGAGAGAAATATTAAAATCTCTTTAAAACACAAGTCTCTATCCTCAGTAACAGTAAATGCTTCAGAACTGTTGCTGAACACCCTGGATTCAGCCAGTAAGGTAGAATGGAGTGCGGCAAAGTTTTCTGGTCTGCACAGCACAGCTTTTATTTCTTGAAAAATGACTTCTCAAAGAAGGGAGAAGGCATACAGTCTTGCTCAGAACAGGAGTACTTCAGTACCTCCGTATAATGCAGTCCTTCTCTCAAGCCACGTGGATCTACACGAATGTTTATATGTCGACACTGGTTCATAAGTTCTAAATGACTAGGGCACTGTACCCACGGTGCATTTGAAGTTAAAGCTAAATGCAGCTGGAGAGATATTCTTTCAGTGTTTTCTGTCAAAAAAATAAAAATAATTTAGTAATCCAAATAAGTGCTCAGATTCTACTAGCTTGTGTTTGCCATTAAAACATACAAATCTAAATCAAATGTAATGGAAACAAATTAGTCTCAAAATAGTAAGCTCTCCACTAAGTAGTGAGCGTTCTATGTTATCTCTTTTAACCAGAGAAAGTAGGAAAAATAGCACAGTATAATAAAATAAAAGTTACATCCCACTTTGAAATCATCTCTCATAAAACAAGCAAACCTAACAAAGCTGAAGGTAAACTAGCAACCACCGTCTCAGTTGCCTGTGACACAATCTGGAAGCAAATATATACATTCCTGTACAGAGCCAACAGCCTGCCTAACACAGAGAAATAAAATAAAAACGAACTGCACTGATTCTGAAGTTTATACTGATTACCAAATTATACTATAACAACTTAAGTGAGGGTTAAGCTCTCAAAATTAAAAGGACTACTATGTTAATTTAGTCTCACTTCCTTCACAGAAGTCCCAAAAAACATATCTGGATTAGCTTCCACGTCAAAAAAAAAAAAGCTGTGTGTTAAGGCATATCTTTTAGAAAAGCTGCTCTAGAGATAAGTGCCACGTTAAAGACAACAAAAATCCATGATTTCTACTCTGTATTAGCCTTAGCCTAACTTTCAGACATTTAATTTCATTACATCTTTGTAGAGAACTCTCTTCTCTACCTGACAATCAGACATGCTTCCCTGACAGGTATAACAGAGGCAATCAACTCAAAGAAAACTTCAAGGGACAGACTGAGCAGATCAGCTTCCCTTAACCTCTTACTTAAACTCCCTCAAACTCAAGTCTTTCTGAAGATACCAGACACAGCACAGCCATAAAAAATGGACAGGTGCTAGAGAGACAGCATCATGGGGCAAGTAATTATCCATTACAAATCTCTAACCGTGTTTTCACACTGTTTGCTTCCTGCCGAAGAGTGTCAATCCTACATTTGGAGGATTATTCTATTTTAGTGTCATAGTGTCAAGGTAAAAAAACACAGTGATTAAAATGTAACCTATCAAACAATAAGGTTACTCTGAATCAGTAATCTGTCCTTCTTACTATCATCTCTCCCCCTAAACACATTCACCCTTTGTCACACACTAGCCTTCTTCTGGATCACTGGTTTCAAGAAAGGAACTAATCTCAGTAACAAGGTCTTACATGGGTCATTTGTGAATGCACCTTATCCTATTCAGCTGCTCAGTAAGTCCAAATTTGTATTTAACAAAGCAAAGCACAGCAAAATACTTTATGGAAAAAAGATCTTGTCAAACCTATTTTGACTGGCATCAGTTACTTACTCATGTTAAAGTAATCAAAATCATTATCAGTCCCATTATTGCCCACCTTAGATGTACTTATCCATTGGTACTCATAATATAAGTCCATTTTGTTAAACTTGGAGATTTTTCTCATGCTGTGAAAATGTAAAGCCTTAAGCTAGAACTTCTAGCCTTTAAATTCTCAGAAATTAATTTCTCAGTTAAATTCTTCCATGTTCAGAACAATATTCATACCTTGTTAAGAACTATCTACACAATCCTGAAGTTCTACAATTTCATGAAACATGAAGGATATTTAATTTTTTCCCCATGTTTTCTCTGTCCCTTCCCCATATCACCGACTTCTACAGAACAAAAAGAGATTCCTTTTTTCAGTAACAGGAAACATGAAGCAAAAGAGTCACTAAGAATGTGGAAGTGCTGAAATTAAATATATGAGGTTAGAATGGAAAAGTCATTTAGCTACATGCCTTCATTTACCAATGAAGTTAGGAGTTGCACTCTTTCTTGTCATGGTGAGGTTCCTATCACTCCTCACCATCATAGCTTCTGCGATTAAAGACTACATTAAGGTTACACCTTATCTTTTTCCTCATACAAATCAAGTTCCTTCCTACCTGTATTTTCAGGAAAGACAGGTTCTATGCCAACCCCATGATCAGAAGGTGCTGTTATCTGTGCAGGATCTCTGAGGTAGATTCCACGGTTGCTTCCAACAGTAACAGTAAAGCCTATGTTACTTGTGAATGATGAATTCTGAATGAGGTAGTCATAGGCTTTATCAACCTATTAGAAAGAACATATTCCAGAATAAGCAATTTCAGGTTAATAGTCACTTATATAAATTATCTTCTCTATGAAGTATTCAGCAAGCACTGCAACAAATGTGGAAATGTGAAGTAATTCACACGCTACTTATAGCCATAGTGACTGCACCTTAAGTACAGAAGATGGGGCAACATCATCTCAGTATCTCCATCTGGCTAGGATGGAGCAACTGCAGGCAGAAACAGCAGCAGCTCTTTAAGAAGGTAAGCAAATTCACTGGCCAAAACTTAAGCATAGGGAAACTGTCATCCAACAGATTTTCATCACACAAAGGATCAAAACGTAGACTTCCAAGCTACTTAAAAGTCTACAGGATACAATAAACACTCAGACTTATCAGTGCAGGCCCAGAGTAAAGTTGTCACAGAAATGCCGCTGTACTACTCCACGGACCAGAGTGAGTGTCTGCAACTTTGCTCCCCAGAACATACAGTTCCAGCACTTGTTCATATAGAATAAGACCATCTCTCTCTGACAATAGTGTAAAAAATTTTTTTATAGATATTAAGACTTAAGACTTGGACAGAACTGTTAAGACAGGATTTAGGCCATCCATATCCAAATGTAGGGGTTACAACAACTCACACCCTACTTTATGTGCTTTATTGGTCAGTCCAAGAACATGGCTTGTTAATACATTTATTTTAGTGTAATTGCATGCTGAAGCTGAGAAAGCAGACTCATTACTCCTCTCCTGCCACTACTTTCCCTTCCTTCCCCCGAATCAGACCTAGAGATCAGGCGGCATGAAAGTAAGCTGAGTAAACTCATCCAGAAGACTTTTTTTTCTAGTGGGTTAGTTCTCCATTGTTAGCAAATACCTGAATAATACCATGTCCTTGTGCAAACACTTCTGTATTTTCTAGTGGGTTAGTTCTCCATTGTTAGCAAATACCTGAATAATACCATGTCCTTGTGCAAACACTTCTATATTTTCAGCTTTCACTGCAGTATTTTCTAATGCTCTTCTGACAGAGTGAACAGTATAATGAATATCATTAGCTTTGAGTCCTGAAATTGAAAAGAAAGATATAATTGGAGACAACAGAAAATCTGAAAAAGCTACTACATTATCAATCATTAATTTTTGTTAAACACATCATAGCAATTTTTTTTAAAATAGAGAAAAAGGATCTTATCTCTTCTACATTATGCATCTCTATTTAATATTGTAGCCTATTCTTACCTGACAGTACTAATGCAATGCCTCCGCAGGCATTAGGCGAAGACATGGACGTGCCATTCATGAGCTGCGTTCCTCGCAGAGTCCAGTTTGGAACAGAAGCAATAGCACCTCCCGGAGCACTGATACTTACTCCAAGGGCTCCATCAGTGCTAACATTAAGACAGAATTATTGAGAAATAAGCATTTTCTTCTGTACATTTTATACACATAGTCATTTTATATTGAAAGTACTATTGTATCTGTATATTTAGAAAGATAATTTTAGCATTAATCACATTCTCAAGTATATTAGTTTATTAAATCCATTAAAACTAAGAAATCATGCCATTAAATGGTAACTTTAAATGTCACATTAATCATCAGCTATGCCTATTTTCTGAACTTTTAAGTTTTATAGGTAGAATACTCCACACATTGGAAATTTTTAGACAGCTGATTTTTACGTATCAACCAGGCTTCAGTTTAGTCAGCAGAATATTTTCTGGACTCTGAACTAGCAAATGCACACAAACAAGCCTATTACGCACTTCAATGTGTAATTTAGTATTCTATTGAGTCTATTTAGCCTTTACTATTTTTAAATAAAATTAACAACAGGAAGGGAAAAACAGAAAAGAGCCACAATTCAGATCTCTGTGAGTGTAGCCATTTCACAATGACGACAAATTTTGAATTACAGCAGAGTACTTGAAACAAGGAATGAGGAAAAGGTAAAAGAAGGAACATCAACAGTTAGATCAGGATCTGCTGCATCTAAGTCACCTATTTAACACAGGCTCAAGCAAGAAAGGAGTGGATGTCTATGGCACAATTAAAGATGCTTTTTTTTTTTTTTTTTATTATTATTAGTATGAGCCAGACTTGCCCACTCTTCCTTATTCTGGACAGGAGAAAAGCACATCCCTTGAACAATCACACCACTAAGCAGTGTATATTAGTTTGACTTAGCTCCTGCACTAACAGCTTCATAGGCCTAAGTTTTGTCTCAAATCAGACTACAGTCAGAATGATTCTGCAGTACAACGTTTAGACATAACAGTCTAGTATAAACAGGCTTGGAATTATTACACTTCTGGTTCAAGAGAGCACAGCAGATCTACCTGATCTCCAGTGTTTACTCAGACTGATCCCCTACCCGAAGCCTACTCTAGCAAAGCTTTTGGAGCTTTGCAGTCACCCATGTACCACACCCTACACTGGCCACTCTGGCCAGAATGGAGCCTTTCAGTTCACATATGGTCACTCAGACTATTTTAACAGCCTAGAGTGCAAAGTAGGAGATATTTCACAGATCTAGGTATAAAAGGTAGTTTGTTTGTATAGCAATCTCAATTTAAAAAATAAATTCTTTCTTTCTCTGGTTGAGGGAGAGAACACATTTCTCCTTTCCTTACCGTATAGTAAGGTTCTTGTAAAAATATACTTGCTTGTAAATATACAGACACTATGATTGATTATTTCAAAGAGAAATGCTATCAGGAAAGCAGATGCTTCCACCAGATAAATCAAGGACCAGCCTCAAATTATGGTTCTTACTATTTCCTTCCCCAGTAATATTGCAGGCTAAACTATTGTATACTTTAAAAAAAAAAAAAAAACCCTCCATGACTTACAAGAATAGTTTAAAAGTCTAAACACAGGTAAGAACTCAGGAAGAAGTACTGTTCTTTTTCTCTCGATTATGATGTTATTGTCAAATTCTTCCGAGACATGATATGAAATAAAAATCCTAGTTTTTACTGCCCATAAATTTTCTTTCGTACATCTCTGAGAACTTCTACAATGTGACACAGAAAAGCAATTTTTCTCTCTACTCACCTCCACTAGCAAAACCCTTAAGAAGGTTGTGCCATTATAGCGACGTCACTGAAGCCATTAGTCATGAAATCATCACAGTAACAGTATTTCTTCTGATCCTCAACACTAACAGAACAGTAACCTTCACTACATTAACTTTATGAAACAAATGCTACTGAAAAAAGCCATTGAAAAAAATGAACTCCAGAAAAAAAAATTACAAGCAAAAATATTAGTTTCAACAACTTCTAATGTCTATGCTTAAAAAAAGAATTACAGACTAGGATTTCACTCATACACGTTTCCCTGAAATGCACAGGTTGTGACAAGGCAGTTCAGGGGTACTCCCTCTCACTCAAGAGCTCTATAAGCCTTAATACAAAGATATTCCAAGAACAGTAGGCCACCTAAGTTCTCCCTATGTGAAAGGGACTTTTATTTCAGTATTAATGACCAATTCTTAGCTTTTGAGTTATGTATTCTGACTCCAAAACTAAAGAATTTGTTATTTTTAAAATAACCTACCTGGGCCCTCTAGATGACCAAGTATATTGATTTGCTGGCAGTTTTTCTCTCAAAGAATATTCAGCAATCATCATATCGGGTGATACATAGGCTCCAACACCTATAAAAAATTAATTTTAGCTGGAATAGTACATATTCACTGTTTGTACTTCTTTCACAACAGATTATTTTTACATGTTTTTTTGAAAAAGAATATTTTGGCTTAATTTACATTGCTAAACTACACCAATCTCACCTCAAAGCAATTAGCATAAATTGGCACACGTTCACGTGGCCCAGAGCTATGCCATCTGGACCAGATGGCCACATGCATACAGCTCACACACTATCATGATGAGATAGCCATTGTTTTCCTGATTAGTCCAAAGCGCCCAAAGCACGTAAATGGCTAAGTCAAAGCCTGCTAAAGCTGTGGCTTTAGAGCATGAGGCCAAAGATGCGTGTTGTCTATTTTACAGTGTACAGTCTCACATCTTTATGCTACAAGCACTATCAGGAAACCACCATGCCAAGTCAAGCGAACCAACCTCGACAAGGTCCCTGTCCATACTATCTGTCTGAATTAACCTAACCTGTCAACGGTATTTGGGTTTTCCCCTCAAAGAAAACTACCTGGTTCACTCCAGATGGAAGACAGGAGGAAGCTATTTTACATGCAGAACAGATGAAAAAGAAACCAGTCTCTGGAGTAATACTTCCTCTCTTGTCTCCAAGGTCTGGATGAATCAATGAATCAGCTGACTTAACAGAGTGGATGCATTGTCAGAATGAGGCCAATGCACACCTGAAAAGAGCCTATTAGTTCCCGTTCCATTCCCCCAAACTCACTCATAGATGAAGTAATTGCAAATTAACTTTTAGAAAGTAATCAGTATTAATTCTTTTAGTTACCCTGAAATAGTGTCTCTCAAACTTTCAAGGCTGCATGCTGGAGTGCTAACATGAGGATTCTGAGATTTACTGCAGTACACAAAATACTTAAGAGTAGCATCAGAGGATTTATATAAAAATTAAGAACAGGAAAGTTAACCCTTAGGGCTAAACATTTTTCAAATTCTTAATATATCGATCTTCCACTGAAATAACAAAAACACATACTGGCCCATCAGAGGAGCCAACTCTTAGGCCAGTAATACATTTGCACAGATGTGGCACCATAGCTTAAAGAATTCTTCCCTCAGAAGGACGTCTCCAGGTAACGTAACGGGATTATCTTATACTCAAATTATAGAGCTAGGTTTCACTATGAAGAGAAAGAAAACGTACTAGGATACCTGACTAATCATTTAGATAATCTAAAATGACATTTCTGACAATTTAAGGTGGATTTCAAGACTTTACGTGAGATAAAAATAACTAAGTTTAATTCTAATTTAGAAGTTGCACTTACCAATAGCTAATCATCCGAGTGAAACGGTGAACTTAAGACAGTTACAATTAAAAAGAATCATCTTGGAATCTTTGAGTAAGCCAGACCACAAAGATTTATTTTGCAAATTTTATACAATGTGACATCAAATCAGTATCACCTGCATCTGATACCTGTTTTCTACATAGATAAGGTCTTGAATTGTAAGGTAATAATCTAAGCTTCTATACCTAAAACATACAGCAAGTGCCTTCCTCGGAATTAATCTAGTTGCCTAGTCTTTGAAAATACCTTATATTAACAATTGACCTGTGACGTCAAGCACGTAACACAAGGACACAACTTGTAAAGACAGCACTTGAATACTGTCAACATGAGTAACTTTTTCAAAACAAATTACTTACCTATTACACTAGATGTAGTACCACCAGGACATCCTACTGTAGAAAGGCAAGGGCCATTATTGCCTGCACTTGAAACATAGATTACATTGTGTTTCCACACAGCTTCACTAATTAGTTCACAAATTCGCCTGAAGTAAGAGAAGAAAGTCAGTCATTTCATCAACAGCATTGCTTGCCTCCCACAGACATCGGGGCAATGGCATATGGAGCATTATTCAGCCTGCTTCCCATACCTAACAGAGGTAGTTCCAGCACTTAAGTTGACCACAAAATACAGCTTCTAATTTTAAAAGGGAGCAGTGATTATGTAGCAAAAATTAAGTCCCCAAAAAACCCCTCACAGACTATGTAGTGTTCTATCTACCAAAATTCTTGTTTAATATTCTAAAAAAATCCCTTACATCATAAATTATTGACAATTTCAACAGTTTTATCTAATTTACAAAGACGTATTTTAAAATGTAAATTGTGACAGTTTAATGCCCAGGAATCATTTTGGCCTGCACAATTCATTCTTACATTTATGTAAAGCCAAAGACCTGTAATTCCAGTTCTGTAGTATTAAAACAGTTTATATTAACAACGATAACACTTACCCAGAATTTGGCCAATGTGTTGCTTCTCCATAGCTATAGTTGACAAGATCACATTTATATTTTATTGCTTCTATCATCTGATAAAGATAAAAAGAGAGTCAAAATACACACTAGTCATAGGATAAGTTACTTACGAAAGATCACATAACATCTGCTTAATCTGCTATAGTCACACAAAGAATACGGCATGAGTTCCTCTTGATTTAACAAACAACAAAAAAACCACACCACCTCACAGATTGAAGTAAATTAAATTCTTTATCTAGATGATATTTTCCCAGTGACCACTCAACAGAACAAAAAATCCAATCCCCAAACACTTTATCAGCTTGCCACGTTCCAAGTTATAGATTAAGACACTAACGTAAAAATCACAAGGATGACTAGAATTGTCTCAAATGTCTGTCCTCAATAACATAACATCCCCCGCTTACTATGTGGTTTAATCAGATTCCAAACATTCATGAAAACATTATTGCACATCTTCATGTTGACATAGCAACATCTTTTTACAGATTACAAATATCATGTAAATTTTCACTGCTAGAAAGGAATGGTATTTCTCTCCCTCTTAAGGAGTATAGCGACAATAAACTTAGCCACATGGTTAGGTACTGGTCTCTATTCTAGATTTATCTAAATATTTAAGCATTTATTTATTCTATGGTTACCTAAGTAACTGTAAAAAGTATACTGACAGCACAGAACAAGGAATATAAAATAAGCATACAAGTCACTTAGCCCATGTGTTAAGGTAGAAGAAGCACTGCATCTCTATCGGTTTGAAAAACCCCATTAGTGCCCTACGCAACAGAAGTCTTTTGCTTTAAAGTATTAGTGTTAAGAAATGTTTGAAAACTTACCCCAAGAGTCTGACATAGTCTAGAACTATAAAAACACAGACTATAATAAACAAGAGCAGATAGTAACCCAGAATAATCTACAGTTAAACTGCTGACTTTAACTATTTATTTAGTGAAATACTCACAGCTCTTATTAGACCAGTGCCAGTTTCCATTGTACTTAGTCTTGTATCACCAATCTTGATTGCTAGAATTTGAGCTCCAGGAGCCACACCATTTCTTTCAGGTTCCTCCGGAAAGTATCCGGCTGCTATACTAGCCACATGTGTTCCATGTGCTCCTAAACAAACGAAAAAGTCTATCACTGTATGCTTAGTGAGCTTCATTTACACCAATTTAATACACTACAGCTCAAATGATTTTCATTTATTGAGCTACCAGTATATAAATGAAGTCCAGCGTTCAAATCACCTTGTCTCTTCGCACAGTACAGCATTTGTTTAAACAAAAAGTCAGAAAGCAACAGCAATTTGCAAAACAGAACAGGTGGAAGGGTAGAGGGAGAAAAGTATTAAATCAGTCTTGTTTATTCCACTATCAGAAGTTACCTAAAAGGCTCAACATCATCTACTACAAGTTATTAAAATTATTCCCTCAAATGATCCAGATAGAGGGGTTTAACCCCCCCCCCAAAAATACTCAAAAATAATTTTTTTAGAATAAAACTGCATGGAAATATAAACGGAACCTGTCAAAAAAATGTACCATTAATTTAGGAACCAGAACTGTTTTCATCACACTACTGAAATATGGATATTTTCATGAGAAATTAAGAGCATTCTTTATCAAATACAAACCATCTGAACCCTCAATATGCTTCCAACACAGAAAATGATTATACATAGACATACAAACATGGGATCAGAGTGGTTGGAGCTACAGCTATAGTGACACCCGCCATCAGAAGCAAGTTTAGATAAATCAAAATAGCAGCTAATTTTCCTTCACTCATGGATGTCTTATTTAAGTTGTCGTCCATAAATCATTCTTTAATCATAAAGCTGCAAAGGACAGCAACCAAAACTTAACAATCATCTGATACTTAAAAACAGAATGAAAAAAATTACTTTGAAAGATGGTTCTCTCTATTTAGGCTTATGCCAGGAAGATGCAGGAGTATCTTCAAGAGTAACTTCAACAAAAATCATGCTATCTATACATGCATATATGCGCAGAGCTGACAATATTTCAGACAAAAATGCAAGCAAGTTTGGTAATAAGATATCATTATGGGTTTACCATAGGAAATGTGGATATTGATCTTTTATGTCATACTATTGAGTGCCATACTAATAAATTGCCTTGGGCCATCACAAGTACCAGAATCAGGCCCCAATACGCTCTCTAGATAGCTGCTTCTTATGATACCTGCTCAGCAGCATATTTTCTTAAAATGCATTTCATTTACCTCCACTTGTCACAATGGAAAGAAGGTTCCCATCATCATATATGTTAACAGAATAATTCAGCATCTCAGATGTGCCAAAAGATCCATATTCCTGAGCCTCTTTGTAGGTTCTCAACACTGTACAGTTAGTCAAGTCACCACTTTCACTTGTATCTATGCAGGCTCTGTTGACAAAAAACAACAACAAAAAAAGGTAATTTACCAACTAATGCAAACTTTCAATTATTCTTTTTCCACACAAGAATACCACAGAGGTCTCAACAGGCCTCGTTTTGTGTTTATGTCTTTCTTCTGTAAGTCAAGCAGTATTTTTAAACTTGGCTACCTACAATTATATTCAGAAATTACGGAAACCTCTAAATAAAATACTTTTCAAATACTACTAAATTCAAATAAATCTGTCTTTGCAAAGCTGGTATAAGAAAGTCCAGACAATTTATTCAAGGAAGGACTTCTTACTAAAGCTAGCTGTGCGGTATTGGTACACAAACATCTGAAGTCTCAACAATTATTTTGCATGATCTGTATTTTCAATAATTAAAATTGTCATAATACTTTCTTAACTTTGTGCACATAAAGGCTTCTGCTTTTTTCCCCTACCATTAATGGATACTAAGAGTGATTTTACTCTTTGCCTCAAAAAATCCCACAAGCCTACATTTTATACTATAGTCTCTCTTTTCTGTGTACTTCTCTTCACTGCTCTCAGGGAGGTCTCCACGACTTCACTGTACCCATCTTCCTTCAGGATCTTTCTTTCATGAAGCTCAAGTGATACAGTAGGATTATTTTAAAGCAAAACTATATTTATATTTAAGAGCTCTATAAAAAGGGTAGATAAAAAAAATGAACACACTTCTTGGAGCAAACTGTTGTCTTGTATGTAAAACAATGTTTTAAACAAGTCTGGGCATTTACCTCCAGGTCTCACCATCATTCCATACTAGACAATCATATACAGGACCAGGGTCACTATATTTTTTCTCAAAAGAATTCAACAGTTCCACTTGATTTTGAAGTTCCTCCTTTATTAGTTTATTTACCTAATAAGACAATAAAAATACAGTTAGAGTATTTCTAAAATTTTCACTAGGTGGGTATAAATTACTACCACTATGAGTCATATTGCTCTCTGATGCTACACATTTGTTCCACTACTTCATCAAGAATTTAAGATTATCACAGAATGCACAAACATGTAGAAGTTGAATGGTCTTGGATACGTGCAACACTTATTCTTGGCCTATTATGCATAACTATTTCTGATTTCTGTAACTGCAAGGCTTAATGCCCTTTTAATACTGATTGGTAAATGAGATGGAAGTACTCTGAGGAATTTCTAGTACTTTGCTGAAATGATACCTATTCCACAAAAAAGGATAAGTTTCCTAAATTGAACAAAGCAATGACAACAGCCTCAAAACAAATCATATTAAATTAAAAATAAAATTTTTTGAAAATATATATCTTAAAGTATTAAATATAATACCATTTTCATATTTAGTAGCAAGCTGAATATGTTATCAACATTAAGCAAATCAAGTAAGCATCCACATTAAGACGTTTTAATCAATCAGTAGATACAATTATAATTATCTGCCAAAATATTCCTAACCATCTTTCCTTCACTCATCTGATAAAGTATTTTAAATTTGTAAACAGTTACTTTTTGAGACATTTATTTAGAAATATACAAACTTGGGAGGGAGAGCTGTGAACAGCATCAAATTCCTCTTGTTTCCTACAGGCCTCTGCTAGAGCCAGCCTGTGAACGGGATCCCAGAGCTTTTCCTTGCGTTCTTTCTGCAACACAAAACCAAGTTCTTCAATAACTTGACAAATATTTGTCCATATACGAAGACTACAAAATCATTTCAAAATTCTGATTTAAGACACAGTGACTAAAAAGTACAATACAATTCTATAAATAAACAACAATCATTACACACAAAGGAGTAACTGGTAACAGTGATAGTCTTTTTACAGCAACGGACCACTCTGGGCTCCTGCCTCCTGTGGTTCTACAATTTTGAAATAACCTATTTCTTCTGCCAATTTATACAAAAATCAGTTAAAGAATGGCTCTAAAGCTCTGGCCAGCAGCCTACATATGTTAGCAAATCATATATTTCAGATTTGTGTTTGGTTGGTTGGTTTTAAGTAAAAATTGAAGAATGAGAACAGTGAAATATAACCACAATACATCAGAAGTAAGGTTCAGTTCATTACCTGAATCCTCTCCTTAAGAGCTTTAGGATAAATGTCATAGCCGTTTTTTATGCCAATGTGATATTTGCCTGAAGGATTTACCCAGTTTGCTGGAATCTAGAGAAAAGTATATTCAGAAATCAGGTAACTAATTTCCTCAAAAACAAAAAGAAGATAAGACAAGACCATCATGTAAGCACAAACTTGCAAATATCACTTAATTACATACCTCTGTGAAAGTAATTACTGCACTAACTTTTAACAATATGATATGGTAATTGCAATTCTGTTCCTAACGAATCACTATCAGTTCATGTGGCGCTGCAGCTGAACATCTTAAAAGCAGAGGGGGCAACTGATACTTAAAAACATACAGCCCCAGCAGAGACCTTTTTGAGTAGAGGTGGGGGGAAACAGTACTGCTATAAATGAAATGAAACATCCTATCACGGGGCAGCGGGGGAATCTTAAGACAGGCCACTGACAAACATCTGAATGTCTAACTTCATATCTTGCTGCAGTTTTGATTCTCAGTAGATCAGATCCACTAGCCCTAATAACAATAACAGAAAGAGCTACAGATTCACCCTTACAATCCTATTTCATGTGAAATTCAAAAAATAGCTGGTAGCTTGGAAAGATCCAAAGACTTGATGTGCTCCTAATGTTTTATCAACCGAAACACCCAAATGAGAACATGGCAGTAACATCAGCAGTCCAACATAGCTGATGTCATCACATCCTTTCTAAAAATCCTATGCCTGTTTTGTTAACAGTGAGAGTACACTGTGCCTGTAAGTAAGTCCTCCCAGATTCTTCAGTCACCACAACTGTTTTCCATGAGTTTAACAGGATGACTCCTCCTGTAATTCACACAAATGTGAAATATACTAGCATATTTCAAAGCAGAACAGTAAGTCTCTTTAGATCTTTTTAAAACATGTTAGCATGCTTTCTTCAGCCAACTTTCAAAACTGTATCAGAAACTGATTTGAATAAAAGAGCAGCATACTAAATGATTACTGAGTCCCCAATAAAACTCTGTAGCTACCTGCACTTCAACTCCAGTCCAGAGAATTTGCTATATAAAGACACATGACAAGTAAAAAAATTTCATATTAAACAGAGCAATCTGGATGAAGATGAACAAATGCTGAATTAGGTTTGATAGGGACTCATTAAAAGGAAAAAAAACCTGCAAGAACAAAAATTAGTGCTAAATCTGTTGTTAGAGAGAAGAAAGATGCCCAGTAGCCACTATATGAAATCTCACCTTTAAAGTTCTTCCAGAAAGACCGATAATTTCTCCATCTTTAGGTTCTACTACAGTACATGTAGTTACATCACCACTGCCTGTTGTATCAATTATATCAATTATTTTGGGTTTCCCATCAGTTGTAATCTGAAAATATGAGCAGAATACTTGAAGATGCAGTCAATTATTCTTCAACATACAGACCAGGAAAATTTTCATTTTTGTGAATAAAAGAAAGTAAGTTGATTTTTTTTTTTTTTTTTTTTTAAGTACACTACCTTCAACTGAGGGGCATAAAAAGCTCTTTGAAATTAGTTAAATTTTTAATGAACTTGTGCATCTTCCTCACCTTAAATAAACTATTAACTCATTTCTAAAAGTGTCTTACAAGAGAAACAAGTAAAAAAAAAAATTTATTAATAATGCTCAGAAGCTCATATTTAGAACCAAACCTTCCAGTAAGTTTTCCCTAAGTCTGCAAAATTACAATTTTCTTTCAAAACATTTACAACATTGCTTTCATCCTACTGCTCTGGCCAAATTTTACAGTAATGATGCCACAATTCCAGAAAGATGAAAGCTGCTGAACTACATGCGCTTACATGTTTGAGCCTCTTAACTGAGTTTAATCCTAAAAGTTACACAAAATATCGTCATCTTATTTTTCTGTTACGAGGATTCTGCTTCATATTTTAAACAATTCAAAGTGTTAGGAGCTATGTGTAAAGAGTACTTTTAGGAGGGTGAAGAGACAGGAAAGGTATCTGTCTGGGAAGAGCAAAATTTTAAAATCTCCTCAAATTAAATGAAAACTAGCCCTAACAGTCTTGACAGCAGTCATTGGCCTACTGGGAAGAAGTCCATATCTACCCAATCACAGACAGAGATAATAATAGTGTTTTGAAGGGTAAGAATGGAAAAATCAGAGTGGTATAAGACTACTTCAGAAGAGAAGGAAAATATCGCACAATCTTGCAGAATGACATATCATATAATTTTTGAAGAATTTAAGAAAAAAATTGTTTACCAAAACAAATTGCACTATAAGAAATGCACCAAACAATAAATGTGTTACCTAAATTTAAGATTATTCTATAGCAGTAATCTGCACTGCTAAATAAAACTACTGTATAAAGTATAAAGCTACAGCTATGTCATGGAACACATATGACAGCTAGTAAAATCCTGAAGGACCATACTAAAAACGTCCTAGAGAGAAAGGACAGTTAATGGTGTCAAAAAACAACTAACGACACACAAAGTCCCTTCCACAGAAGCACCTTCTGCACAATTATCAAAAGTATAAGACTGTCTTGACACATTTAGAAAAAAATATTCAATGTTACTATGTTCTCGTAATCCCTTCTGGATGAAGCATGTTATTATTTCATATCAGTTTACTCAGCAAACATACTACATTCCATAAAAAGTAGTAGATGCTTGAAGTGCAACATGAATTGGCTGTAAGCAATTATTTTCACAGCTTTATATTAAAGATTGTTGATTAAAAAAATCACCTTCTCAGCACCTGCTATACACCAATATACTGAAAGTAAAAAAAAAATAATAATAATAAAAAGCATTCGTGTTCAGAATAGCTGCAAATTTTGCTGTTTTCTAGCATTTCAGTGCTTGGTATTCTTGCCTTTATGCTCTACCATTAACGCTGATCTCGCAGCTAACACACATGGCAGATAGGTTTGCTCAAATCATGTTCTGGAAGTGTGATTTCAGCCACAGAAATTGATAATAATTAAGTTATTTCATAAAAGTCACTCTGTTGCTGCCAAAAAAGACAAGACAATGGTCAAGCCTATATTGGAGTTCAACAAATACAGACAAATACCTCCAAGGTTTTGAATTTTCATTGTTTAGAAAAATCCAAATTTAAATAGCTGTAAGAAAAGATACTGCAACAAGTATAAACAGGAGACAAATTTCTGTTTTCCAGAAGGTAACAAATACTGCTTTGAGGAAACCTGCTATGGAACAGTTTTCACTGCAGAAATCAACACGGTTAACTCTGCTCACAGAAATTCACGTTCATTTAGAAGAACAGCAGCTATGTAGTAGTGAAAATTTACTTGGGAAACTCCATGCACAGGCATTTATACCATAGAATTTTCTATCATCTGTAATTAATCCCTTCAGATGCCAGTCTTCACTCACAGAGAAGTTAACAGGTAACCTTGAACAGAAGTTACGCCAAAAAGAGGATTCCACCAATAATGAATTATATGCATGCTAAACCTGAGATTATCAGAATTGGGCATTTTTCAATATACCTCTAAAAAAAAAAAGTAATAAATTGCTCAGCGATCAAAGTGCAAGAAAATAAAAATGAAATTGCAACCCAAGGCAACCTCTTTGACACTGGTGAGTCATACTGCAACAGGTGGCCAGAACATAGATTTATGCTGTAGTGAATTTCAGTAGCTTTAAAAGTTCCTTCCTAGCCAGAAATTTTATGTGAAACTCCTACACCGTACAGATCGTCACCCTCTATATGAATAGCAGGTCCACATGCGTACATGTCTGTGCAATCAGAATCAACAAATCAGTCTTTCAGGTCAGACACAAGAAACTTGAGTTTCAAGTGCAAAGGTCTAAGGTTCAATTCCTAATGGCAGCGATCCAGTCAGATTCACAGTCATTTAGCGTAAAGTAACTGACAGAGCTTTCAGTGCTGACATGAATTGTTTGGCACACTGCCCACCAGTAGTAATGGTACAATGAAACTTACGGTTCAACTGTTTTTTTGTCTTCCCCTCTCCCTTGAAGTCCTTTATCTTGGGGGCGGGGGGGAAGGGAGGGCAGAATTAAGTGATATTAATTTTCTTTGTATGATTTGATTTTTTTCTAAGTAATGAATTTATTATAGATGTAAAGAATGTTTTCACCCCAAAATTTTAAAAAAAGAAATTACTATATAATTAAAATATTTTATAGCATGTCTTAGTCTCAACCGTGCAAACTCATGCTTTCTTTGTTCCTCACATACGCAACCCCTAGAGATTCAGATTTTTTGCTTTCACATGTGAAACACTTACCTGAACCCCACAAGGAGTCAGTTCAGAAAGCTGAACTTAAAGATCAAAGTTAGGCCTCTGAGCTAGGTCACTGAAGAGTAAAATCTGCACCAGTGCCAAATAAAGAGCAGAAACCACCACAATCCCTGCTTATATAAAGGATGCAGTTCCCATGGGAGCTGCATACAACCCTCTCCGAATCCTGACAGAAAACATGCTGAAGAGAAGTTGGAAGTAGGAGCAACAAAAAAGGCCATATATACACTGCATAATTAAGAAGATGTTAAAAAGCAAATACTGAAAGAATCAAGGAAAAACTGTGAAACGTCCAAATTAAAAATCACCTACACAGAATTTTACAAAACCTGAGATCAAGATTGTAATGACAAATGGGGTGTACTCTGAGCTATAGACAAAGCTAGCAGATGTAAAAAAAGGTCAGCATATACAAATCTGATAAAAAATTTGATTGCAGTACAAGAAAAATACATTGACAACAAAGGTATGCAAAATTTGCTAAAACACATTTTTCATACAAAACATTTAAGTGGCTGTTTGAACTCCCTTGCTACTACTGAAATAACGCTAACGTTTAAGAAAAATACGAAGCACTCTTTTCGAGTAGGTTCTGCGAAAAAGGAGACAGCCAAAGGGATTAAGTGCCCTAAGGCATCTGTGGGAGGCTCAAAAGAAGAAACCTCCTACAAATAACCGAAGGGAAACACACAGATCTACAGGATTTTCTCCGCTCTCCCACAGCCGACCTCCGCGGAGCTCACACTAATGCAGCACGGGCATGAATGCTTAGCGGGAATCCTAAGGAAAACAACAACAACAACAACAACAACCGCAAGCCTC